TTTCTACTTCTTTCTCATCTATACTTACACACACATATACGCAGTCTCTCACGCGAAAGATCGTTTCCTACTCTCTTTTCCCCTTTAAATCCGACTTCTTCCTCCTCGTCCTCCTCCCGACAATTACGATCGCAAGCGAGCTCATCCCTTTGAGAGGAAAAGGACTCCGTCGGGGGAAAAAAACGAGCGTGGTTACGGGTAATTTTAGCGCTCATGCTGCGATTGTCCCGAATATTTTATTTCTCGCCCAGCCACATTGAGCACAAGTTGGCCCCTTTGATTACTTTAAGCTGGTCGTTAAATCGATGATCATATTATCGATCGTTTTCTCAGATCAACTTCTCTCTGTCAATCAATTTTCTCTTGGAAACTTGGTCACATTTAACTGCGGCGTCTTGAATGACATGTATAAAATTATTAAGTTCTCGTCATATCACAAGAGAAAAGGAATTTAACGAAAAGATGTTTACAGTGAGCCCATTTATGCGTAGATTACATGAAAATCGTGAAGTCGCCAGATTTGCGCGCATCTGTGAGCTTGTGTTTAACTTCAGCTTCATGAGGAATAAAAGGAGACAAGATCCTTCTACAGGCATATACATACGCGCGCGCGTATACAACATACATACACGCATACACACACACACACACACACACACACACACACATACACGTACATCACATATTTGACATCGCCCTTGTCAGACTGTCGCGCTACGTTTTGTTCGTTTCTTCCTCTTAATCCTGAGTTGCCCATTGTCCCCCTTGGCATCCTGTTTAGAACAGCATGGCTTCCGGCACTCTGTTAGCTAAGAGTCAGCGACGAGTTCGCGTAAGGGTGGGCTGCCCTGTATATCACGTTTCCACTTGAGCACATTTTATAGACTACCGTATTACACACACACATATATATATATATATATATATATATATGAGAAAGAGAAGCGTTTGCGCGATAGCGAGGTCCGAATCGATACCGATAACCTTAAGCTAGCGAGGATTCGCGAATCTCGGTCCCTTCCACACTCGTATTCTCGCCGATTATTCGACCGGCGGTTGAATAACTGAACAGACGAGATAATCGTGTTTCCAATTCATTATTAATGTACACATAAGAGGTTTACATTCTAGACGCGTCATGAAAGTATAATGGATCTCAGTGCGATGCTAATGCAATCGCTAAGACATATCGGATTTTAGATTACTTTCGAGATCGTTATTATTACGTTAGAGTATCCGTATATTTAATTTATTGCGAAATAAAATATAAACATTCTTCGCAATAAATTATAAATACGTACATATATATAGAACGAGAAATCGCGAGATCACATGAAAATCGTGAAGTCACGACGTTAGTCGTAATATTATGGTCAGAACGTGTTTCTCGTACGATGCAACACGCTGTACGTTAGAAGTTTCGCATAGGCGTTAAGCGTTAGATGATAACATATAGTAGGGAATGGATACACAGTGTTGTCACTCGTGTAAAGTAGGACACGATACATCCGCATCCCGTCCCTTTCCACCTATCTTTCATCTCATCCCTTTCGAGAGTCAAGGTAGAATGTCAACATTACTAATTAGGAGAAGTACAGTTTTTCCTTCAAATTATCCATTCATGCCAAACGATCAATTTATTTCAGCATTCGCGAGACAATATATCGCGGCAAATTAAGACGAGCCATGGCCGATGGCTCCGAGACACCCGATTACCCAGCTCGGTGGCTGCTTTTCTTCCCGACTATAACAATAATCACGAACTACCAACTGTTTTCTTGCGTTATATTTCTTAACGATTAAAATTTATCACAGGCGCACTTCTCAAAGCGCAGTTCAGTTCCATAAGATCGGAAGTGCGTCGCGCTCGGCAAAAGCACGCGCGGATTCTTTCTTCCCTTTCTTTTTCTCCTCACCGCGAATAAAGCGGCATTAAACGCCGCGGAAGTACTTGCGGAAGTACTTGTTGCGTTTAATATTTGAGCGAGTAAAAGTGAATTATCGCGATCATTTCGCGCGGTTTAACGGTACCATAACAAAGGTGTGCAAAAGAGTGTACGCGCGTGTCCTTTTTACCGTCTTTTCGAACATTCGTTCTTTCTCTCTTTCTCTCCCTTTTCCTGTAACTTCCGTGTACAACCCTTTCCCTCATCGAGCTGTCTCGAAGTAATTTCTGCCGCGATTTTCGAAGTAACAACGCCAAGTGTAAATCCGTTTCTTCTCGGATGTTTCGCGTGTCGTTCGTGCCTCTCACCCCTCCCCCGTCCAGAACGAAACTTTTTTCCCCGAGGCGATACGTATCGCCGCCTATCGGTTTGATCTAATTTCGCGACACGTGGATTCGCAATAAATGTCGACAGTTCGTTGTAATTCGCGAAATTCTCTGTTCTTCCATACGGAACTTTTCCTCGGAGGCGATCGCGACGCCGCTCGATTCGACTAAATACGTAGTGACATCAGGAACGGAGGAATTTCCCAGGTGAACTGCATTCCTGTAAAATCATGTGACGAAAGCACGAGAGAGAGAGAGAGGAAGAGAGGGAGGGAGGGAGGGAAGAGCTCCGAATAAAGTTAAAATAAAATTCTTGAAATAACTGTTGGCCGCGCGCACAGCGCCGTCGTGTGGCAGAGTCGGAACAATTTTTCTGTCCTTCGTAATGTGCAGTAAAAACGCGAAATGGACAACCGACGCCGGCAGAATGGACGTGTATATCCTCGGCGAAAACTTGGTCGATTTTTTTTTTTTTCTTGTGTTCCACGGTCACATATTCAGCCGAGTTTCCTCAAAAGGTGTTTCCTAATTAACTATTTAACGAGAACGCAGTTCGCCGGGAGAGCTTCGTCATTTTTATAGTAGATAACCAAGTTAACGGCCATCGCTCTGGACACGTCGGAAATAACGAGCTACCTCGGCCGCGTGCTGTCAAAGCTAAAGAATGAAAAAGAGAAAGTCCGAAAATTGTTTTAATCTCCTGACGGCAGGATGGATTTCCAACGTGTTCAGGAAAACGGGGTTGGATCCGACTCTATGTTTTGTTTATTTTTTACGTAATCAATGTACGAGAGGGGCAAAAGAAGTAAATATTTCTTAAGGGGACGCTATGCTTGAAAACTTGACCGACAGAATACTGATTTTCTTCTGCAAAGTTCACGTCTTACTGGTCGTACAAAATTACAAATGTTCCTATATGGCGAAAATACGTGCGAGAATTAGTTGGAGATTGTCCAGTATGTGACGAAAACGATTGAAAATTTCAAAACTGAAATCTCAATGAGTCTCGATCTGATCAGTTTATCTAAAAGAAAAATTTTGCAACTTGTACATACCGAGTGTGTTTGCTCCAATGACGAAAATTTCGATGAACATTTCTGTATTTCTACAATTATACATAAAAGCCTAAATAGATACGAGGAAAATTGGCAGGAAAAAAATGTTACATCTTGGTTAGATATAACAATCTCCATTAAATATGGCAAGACAGAGTGGCGCACATTCATCTTGTTCACATTGATATCGCAATAACGTTTACGTCAGACCTACATGTACAATGACTACAAACAGAATAGCGTGACTATGTCGATGTTTACGTAACACAACATTACGAGGACCGTCTATGCGTTATTATCGACGCTTACCAAGTTCGTCAACAGCTATGACATCCCCGTAAGAAGAGAAACTGCGCGTGCACGCTGTAAAATAAACGAGCCCGGGGTCGCATCCGACCCCAATCTTACCGTTAGAGGGCTGAGAGCACAGTTTCAGGAAGGTCACGATCCCCCTCCCCTCCCCTCTCCCCACACACACTCACTGGCGCGAAACGGGGACGAGAGCGGGATTTCTTACGCGCGTCGAAGACTTTGGAGCTTAATAATTACCTTCTTGAATATTAATTGGCGTCGGAACTTCTCCATTACCCTCTCCTCGCGATTCAGCCACCCGCGCGCGCACGGGGATCACGATCCATCTTACGTCGCGAATTGACGGGCCACGCGGTGTGTTCGCGCTCTCGCACGTTGGTTATTATCGGCGAAAAGACGGCGCGAAGGGAGCGGAGTGGCGAACTCGAACGATTCAACGGATCCTTGCCGTAGTTACGCGCGAAGAGCGAAAATAGCCATTATAACTTCGCCCGGCCTGCCACCGCTCCTCGGCTGTTATAACTTTGTGTATCCCGGCGCGTCGCGAACTTTCGCTCTGGCTGGGCCCGCGCGAAACGGCACGCGTCTTTTGAAACGCACGGCCGGTCGCGCGGAGCCCGTCGCGCGAGTTAAGCCGTCGGACCGGTCTCAGGAAGTCGGGAGTCGACTCCGTCGATTTATTATGTTCCTCGGTCGCTCGAGGAACGAGAGGACGAAGACGACGACGACGACACTGAGAGCCTCGCGCACGCCGACGATGATCGAATGAGTCCGCGACACACGCGAGATCGACGAGTCTGGTCGACCACGCACGACGTCCAGGAGGCCTCTCCTTGTCTTGCCTCGTCGCGTAGAGAACCGAACGAGTCGATATGTATA